GAAAACTGAAAATGCCTAAACAACATCCGATCACACATACTCACACACACGCATTTTGAGAATTATAGATATAGATGGCTGGCATACTTGTTTCCAAGGATGCCTGTCATATAGAGTGGCTAGTTAACCCCTGCTGCAGATGACCTGCTCATGACCACTTGTGTTTCTTCAAGACCTACAGAGCCAACATGTGGTTTATACTACAAATACACTAAGTAGACCTTAATAAGAGTTTCTAGACATAATGTAGTGTTATCAACAGTTTTGAACAAGGTCAGTACACTGAAACACTCAGTCACAATGACTTGGGATTTTGTATTAGCACAAATATCAACTGCTTCTGAACAGTTCCATATTTATTTTCGTTTTTTTTTTTTTTAAATCATTTCACTCCCAAACAAGACAATAAAGCCATTAAGATGCAAATCTACCCAATTTCACTCCCAAGTCTTTTGCCAACTCGTAGTTTCGTTTTTTTTTTTTTTTTTTTTTTTTTGGATTGTTTTTTTTGTACTTCTCAGTGGTACCTCTCAAGGCTGATATTATCAAGGAGCCACAATTTTGTATTTTTACAAAATAAATATATTATCAAGGAGTCACATTCTTGTTAAATCGACTATAGTGAGATTTGAATGTTGGTACCATGGCCAGAATGTTAGTATTCATATGTTGTGTAATGCCATACACACTGATCAGCACTTGTCTCTGTTTATAGAAAAAAAGTTCCAATTACTTTCAGAAAAAATCTATTTTCCTGATACAATTATGAAGACTAGAACTCTGCCAGAGAAGCTGAGAAACAAGAATAAAAAAAAAATATCCTATTACTCACTAAAGGAAAACATGGCAGGGGAGCTTAGAGGGGGTCCAATGTACTATGTAAGTTCATTGTGAAATGATCCCCTATTGCCACAGCCATTGGTTTGGTGATAAGATGCCCATCCCAATTCAGGTCTTTTTTTTTTTTTTTTTTTTTTTCAATTCAAAGTTGACCTTCTAGATTGCACCTGCCCACTTTTGTTTTCTCTCCTGCCCCCCACATCTTCCTCCATTCTTTGTTTGAAATGCTATTTCTCTTCAGGATGTTGATGATCGTGGCTACCCAAAAATTCCTATTATTTATTATCTATGAATTGGCATTTTTTCTTGGGAAAGATAGTGGAGTAGTTTCCTGTTATCTTTTTCCACAATTTGAAATTCAGAATTTTCCATCTCTTAAATTGGTTGCCATGCTAGGCTAAAGAGCCTAGTTTAGAATGTTATTTAACTCATTACTGGTAGCCAAAGATATGGATTCATGTCTTAAGGGCATTAGAGTGTGTTATATAGGAATAAAGTGTCGCTGCTGACACTGAATTTGAACACAGATCACCAGAGAGCAAACACAATCAATCCCATTTCAGATAAGTAGATCACATGATGATAAAGGAAATATATATATGGGAATTAGCGTGGTGTCTAAGTGATCACTATACAGATTACTATTCGGTGGTTACTTTTTCAGCAAGTATTATCGAGCAAGTACTATTAGTGTTATTCAAAGGTGTCTGACACCAGTATTGTTTAACAGTGTTACTATAGTTGTATCTGCAATTACAAAGTCTCTATTACAATGAACACTACGAAAGTGACAATGATTATTCACAAAAGAGTGAAAGGGAACACAACACATTAGGTTACAGTTTGAATTTGACACAACAATTTCACATTTAGTACTAAAGATACATGACTTACACATCTTTGGAGCCATTCTTCTTCTATGTGCCATGTCCTTTCAGGACATAGGCGATCATAGCTCTCCACAACTTCCTATATCATGTGGCTCTTAGCAGTTTTTCTCCCTTTGCTAAGGCTCCTGCACCCACCATTTATGCCATCCATTTGCACAAGCATATCTGGTAGGTGGCCCGCTGTCCTCCCCTATATCTCTCACTCTCAATATACTGCATGAGGGTTATGTTTTCCAAACCCTACTTCTTTATGTGTCCAAGGAATTTCAGCTATCTCTTCCTGATTTTGAGGATAAGTGTTATCCTTGATTCTGTTTTCCACAATGATGACCGTTAATCATTTTTGAGTTAGGAGGTGCAGTTTGTTTAAGTGGAATTTCAAGTGTAAAAAAATAAAATTGTATTATCTGTTGTGTAAATTGTGTTTATTTGCATGGCTTGGGCAGTCACTTGACTGATTACTCAAAGCAAAGCCCTTCTCTCTCCCACTCCCTGCATTCTATAGAATTTAAAAGTTGCATGGTGGGGTATTTTAGGTATGTCTGTGTGTTCATATATAAACACTTAAAAAGCTACAAAATTTTTTCAAACACTGGAAAGTGGAAAGAGTTCAGCTGTCAGTAGACCGGGGTAAAAGAGACATTCCCAGCAGGGATATCTTCATCCATGTTTTGCTACATCTCGTAGCAAGGAAGAGGAAGGAAGGAAATGTTTGTTTATATATATATATATATATATATATATATATATTTATATATATAAATTCCAAATTTCAAATTTCACTTGAAGATGAAACAGAACTAAGGCTTTTAATTTAATTATATAATTTGAAGTTTTTATCTTTGGTTTTTGAAACATGGTAATTCCTGTGTAGCAAAAGAACCATATTTTTAAATCAGTTAACTTATAATATATATATAATTTTCTTTTTCTTTCTTTCCTTTTCTTTCTTTCTTTTTCTTTTTATAATAAAACTTAAACAGTGCCACCTAAAGGGCATTTGGCAAAGCAAGTGGAATAATAAAATTTCTGGCTTCTTTATTACTAGCATCATGGGAAAATATATATTTCTTGTCAATGAACCTTACTCTCCAGATTCCACAAATAGCACCTCTGGCATTGAAGTCTTCACTTTGTATCTGTGAAGTTGTGTCTATTTGGAAATTTCTTCACAATGTTGAGTAACACTGTTGCTAACTAAATGAGTTTGGCATCATCAAAAGTTATTTATACATATACAAGAGGGTGCTGAAAAGTTTTCACTTTGACTCTCTTCCCAAAATAAGTAAGAGGACATTTCAAATCTACCTCATCGTTATAATGTATATATAAGGAAAATTTTGTTAGAAACAAACAAGACTACTGAACTGTTATGTAGTAAGGTCCTCCTATATATAATAGCAGGTAACGGGTGGCAGTGAGAAATTGCAAGTAACATGCCTAATAATAAAAATGTGTAAATCGATGATAGAATAGAGACTGGGAAAGGCAGTAAGGGGGAGCAATCATTGCTTAGAGTTACAAAGGATAGAAAGTTGTGGAGAATCATGATCAACGATGTCCTGAAGGGACAGAAGGAAATATCGAGTAATCTCCCTAATGAAATTGTGTAAATGGATGGCAAAACAAAGAATGGGAAGTATAATAAGGGAGCAAACATTGCTTAGAGCAAAAAGGGACAGGAAATTGTGGAGAACCGTGAATACCTCCATCCTAAAGCATCACAGCACATAAAAGAAGTCTTCTGTATAATAGTGAGGTAGTACCAAATAAAATTTAATCACATATACATAGTTCTGGTGGGCACTTCAAGGTGGTGTAATGGTTAATAAGTTTGTCTTGCTAGAACAATTATGACTGAGTAGTTAGTTCAATCCTTACTGGGTGCCCCCTACTTTTGGCCTTGTGCCACATCTAAGCTACACTTGGAAAATCACTATACATGGTTCTGGTTACAATTTTAATATAGTTTTGTGGCCCATAAACTATTATATAATGGTCATGTTCTACTAACCCTTTAGAGTATCATAGTAATAATAATCCACAGTTCTGAATGGGAGTAAATGACACATGGACTTTTATATAAAACTCATAATACATTTCTGAGAAGTTATCATGTTTCACGTGTTTTTTGGCCTTCTTCAGGTGCTTGTTGATTCAGGTAACCTTCAAGGAATTTCAAACTGAACTCTTTATTTAATCTACAGAGTAGATTGTTCTCATTCCACTAACCATGTCTGAATATCTTGCCTAGTGAATTTGGCGATATAGTAATTGTGAGTTCAATCCCTGAGCCAGGCAGTGTGTACTTGGACTCTGTAGACATGGGGCATGAAGTAACTGTACAGTATTAAAAAAAATGGAACTAAATGAGAACAATGTATCCACTGTAGATTAAATAAAGGGCTCAGTTTAAAATTTCCTAAAGATTATCTGGATCAACAAACACATGCTGAAGGCCAGAAAGCACAAAAGTCGAAATGTTGCAATAATGCTGATGATAAAAAAGATGGATTCTTGTTGTGCTTAACCAAATATTGATGGTTTTTCTTGTTTAATGTATTTGGTGATATAATAAGCAGTATTTGAGCAGTATTCAAACGGAACTAGATAAGATGTCCCCAGAGATGGTTAGTGGAATGGGAACAGTCTATTAACGGTAGATTAAATAAAGAGCTCAGTTCAAAATTCCTGAAGGTTACCTAGATCATCAAGCACCTGATGAAGACCAAAGGATACAACAGCCGAAACGTTATGATGATAATAAAGGCAAATTCTTGTGCTTAACCAAATATTGAAAGCTTTTCAAGTTTATATGATTTGAAATTGAAATCTATTGTCATGTAGATGAGATATGGTGTCTACTCTTTTCTCAAAGGTGACCCAGAACTGTGTAAGGCTGTGGCATAAATGTCTAAATAGTTGTTTGCACTTACCTTATCTTCCTTATAGATCAGATGTTCTCAACCTTGCTTGACTTATGCACCCCTTTCACAATTTGTCAGAATGCTTCCCTCCCCCCACTCTTTTCAAAGGGACAGGTCAGATAGGCCAAATTCTATAATTGCTCTCCTCCCTACCACTGAACTTACTGTGGTCACAATTCATCCCTGAAAATCCAAAATTCACCTCCTGTTGAGAACCCCTGTTATAGATAATTTCCATTTATTAGCCCTGAATAAATTAACAGAACTTTAGTTGTGCTGGCTTAATTCAAATTCAGTTTTTATACATATATTTCTTTTAGTGTCTATTTTTTTTTTTTTCCAGGTAACATGATGGAATGGTGTCTTCCTGAAGAGACGGACTTGGATGGTGTAGAATTCAAGGCAATGGCCAGTGGATCTCACACATTGATGAGAGATTTTGTGTAAGTATTCAAACTCAGTCACTAAAAAAAATATACTCTGAGAACATCCTAAAATACAAAAGCAAGGGATTTTCATTGAAGGGAGTGCTGAAAAGTTATCAGCTCGATCTGATTGTTTATATATCTTTGGAATTGTTATGAGACAGTAACTGTCATTCTTGCCACTTGCTGCTGGTCATGCCTTTGCTCATACATGAAGGAGATGTTGAAAATTCTTGGTCTGATTCACTTCCCAAAATCTGATTAAATATGATTTTTTTGTTGGATATCACCTCCTCATTCAGTGAACAGTGCTGGTAAGAGTCCAGGGTATGTGGCTTGTAGGTAGGACAATATATAAAGAAACCTACAGAGACAGTGAAAGTTCTTAGATACTTCTCAAGAGTCAGTTAATGAGATGAACCTGTGACAATTATCAAGACTTACCATGTTTGAAAGGGTTTGGAATATCAGTCTTCTTCGTACGTTGAAGGGCTATGGTATTTCCAAACAATTCTTTGAACTGCCACTTTTTTTAGATGTTTTTGTGCTAATGCAAGTGTCCCCCAGGCCCTTACTTTGTTCTTAATTTTCATCACTGACCTTCCTTATGACATCAGTTTTCAACTTCATAACTATGCTAATGACACAACCATTTACTTCTGTCTCAATACTAAGTCTAATCAGTTTGATAAAGTCAAATTGGCAGCTGATCTCAAAAATGACCTACAATGTATTAACTGGAGCAAGGAATGGCTTGGTAATTTTAATGTCTCCAAAATGAAACTTCTCTCTGTCAATAACTTCCCATCAGCATGGCTGATACTAACTTTCACGGGCTTACATTCTTGGCTGACATGAAGTGGAAAGATTATATTGAATCCATTGCTAGGTCAGCTGCTAAAAAAACTTGGTTCACTGTGTCATGCTAGACAATTTTACTTTTTAGAATCTATCTTACATATTTATAAGTCTAACATTCACCCATGCTTTGAATATAGCTGCCATATATGGCCCAGTGCTCCTGCTGTCTATTTAGAGATACATCAGCAATATTATTAGTGCTGACCTGACATCTCAGCTTCTTTACTTTATCACTGCCATCATGTAGCTTCCGTGTGCTTTTTCTACAAATACTTTCATGGTTATTGTTCTGATGAACTTTCCTCTATGGTATGTATACTTTTATGAATTTAAGCACGATACTAGATTGGTGCCAAGGTCTCATCAATTCACAGTTGATTTCTAACAGTTTCTTTTCTCACACTTCTTACTTGTAGAAGTCAGTTTTTATCTACTGTCTTCTTGATTACTCTTCTATTTTTCTTGCTCCTTAATGTTTCTCTTTTTCCTTATTTTTTCATACTCATCAACTCCTTGTGTCTTACTAGCTTTACTGTCTTGCATGGGGTGATATAATTTAAAAAGTATCATATACATCTTAATTTAACTTTTGAAAATCATAAAGCTGTGAAAATGATAAAGTTACTCTAAATAAATATTCTTAAAGACTCCAGCTGCATTTTCAACTTCTTTTTCTTTTATTTTTACCCATGTGGGATATATAAAAAAAGAATTACTTTCTTTTTATATATATATATTTATTTATTTATATATATATATATTTATATATTTATTTATTTATATATATATATATTTATATATTTATTTATTTATATAGATATATATTTATTTATTTATATATATATTTATTTATATTTATATATATATTTTATTTATATATATATATTTATTTATATATTATATTTATTTATATATATATATATATTTATTTATATATATATATATATATATATATATATATATATATATATATATATATATATATATATGACATTTTTATCTTTATACATTCTTTTTATAGATATAAATATTTAAGTAAATGCTCTGTTTATAATAAACAGTATTAAACAACATTTACCGGCCTGAATGTCAGAAATTTTCACAGAAAATATCCATCCTCTGACAGGATTCGAACCTGTGTCCTATACGGAACCGTCATTTAGCTTGACGTGCCTTTACCGATTTGGCCACAGAGGCGCGTTCGGTTAGCAATGTCGAATTTACTGTATTTGAACTTCAGTCTTCTATGAATCTCTCGCGTACATTCACATCTGCTCATGGCGTATCAAATGTAAACAAATGACGTCACTCATTATGAAACGGACAAAGTCCGACCATTATTTTAAGACATTTTTATGTTTATACATTCTTTTTATATTAATGTATAAACATAAATTTGACTTTTGCTAGAAAAAAAAAAAAAATATATATATATATATATATATATATATATATATATAGTAGATGCCTGTATAAGTTTTTTTTTTTTTTTACTCAAACATAGGTAACCATTAAAAATTATTTTTATAGTAATAAGAAATAATGTTGGATTAAAAATGAAGTATCCATTAATTTCTTCAAAAATTTCCTACTACTCCAAATATTATTTTATGGATATCCATGTTTGAATAGACATCTTGTTCTTTTTGTTTTGTTTCTCTTTTCTTTTTTTCTCTCTCTCTCTTCTCTATTTTTTTTTCTTGTTTTTTTTTTTTTTAAATAGTGTGAATTATGTCTCACATCCTGCGACTCAAGAAACTTGATAAATGACCTTTGGAGTAGTAGGCAATAACATAAAGATAAAAAAAAAAATCCACTTATTCTTTCATAGATATATATATATATATATATACACACACACACAGAGGAACCTTAACTGTTCAAGAGGGCTAAAGATATTTACACTTTCAATAAAACAGTTTTTCATGTTTTTTTTTTTTTTATTAATGGCATTTCAGTTGAGCCGAGAACTTTTCAGCAGATGCTTGTTTGCAGATATAATCTCAAAATTATTTTTAGAATTTACAAACAAGGTCAATAATCTTCAGTTTGACTATTCATTTGAACTGGCTTTAATATTTTTATTCATTTGTATCAACCTGACACTGATTAAAATTTATGTATTAGCAATTGTTTTCAAATTGCTTCAATTTCTATTTTATGCATTTGTATGGATCCAGATTCTCTTCTTCAGCCCAGTAAGGGTTTGGTTAGCTTTTGAAATGTGGGATAGTAGAGAAATTGCTCACTTATTTCCAGTTTGTGAAGTGGTTCTTTTGTTTGACTGATTGAAGATAAATCTTGCATGTAATAGAATGCAATTTTATTGACCACCACTACCTCAAACCCCATCTATTTTTTTAACCATTGATTAGTGAAAGGTATATATATATATATATATATATATATATATATATATATATATATATATATATATATATATATATGTCAATAAACAAAAAAAAAAAATCAGCTGGTATTACTTGGCATTCTAATGATTTTTCATTACATCTCTAGATTTGTTTTTGTTTTTACGGCTTATCAACCCTTATCAGCTCTTTTGCAGGTTATTTAAAGCCAGAAAATATTTTTTCATTGTAAGAATATTTTTTAAGATAATGATTTACTGATACAAGTGCTACTAATTAACCCATAGTTGGGGGAGAAGTGGTGGATTTTTACCATTCCTGAAATTATTTGAGTGTAATTGAATAATGAACCAGATCTATTACACCTCCCACACATCCAAGCTTACAGAACCTGGTATTACCAAATAGTCATCCATCTAGGTACTGACCAGGCTTGATGTTGCTTAACTTTGGTGAGTGTACAAGAGCTGGTATTTCACGGTGATATGGTCATAAGCCCACACAAAACTGAAAAAAATGGAACTGGTTGATGTGGTTTTCTCTGATTAGCAGTTAACTGCCTTAAGTCCCCAAGTGAGGCTTATTATATTGTGTCTTTAGAGAAACTGTATAATTTATGTGAGTTCATTAGGTCATGGTTTTCATTCTGAAATTTCTTTATTTAGAATTATTTGGACAATCCATGTTTCTTCTGGTATGATTTCCCATCCTTAGTTAAATCTCCTTATTTGCAGTAGCTAAAAATGATCCCACCTATTCCTAAATCTGGTAATTTCTGCTGCTCCCTAAGCATGGTTCTCTTCTGCTATATGCCAGCTTCCATATTTCTATTTATTTTATTATTGACTCATCAGACATTAAACTAAATCTGCAACAGCAACATGCAGAAAACAATTTTTTTTCTTAATCTTTTCACTCTCAAGGAAGGTGATAATGCCCCTAAGACGCAATGAGTTACTGAGGGTGAAAGAGAATGAGAAGACTTCAGTGAGGAGAAAGGACAATAAAAAGACAGGATTCCGGAAGACAGCGGGCAACTGATGTTTGAAAATTGTGGGTGGACGAGAAGTGTGAGAAAACCTTTTAGAATACGACATATGGTTGCATCTACCTATTTTGAGATAACTAGTTTGTCAATATAACACATTTAAATTCATGCAGTTAAGGTACCAAGGAGGAAAGCTCATCAGAACAAAACATTGAATTAATGTTGAGATACGTCTATGCCAGGATTCCAAACATTTCACACATCTTTTAAATGAAACGTAAAAAGGGTTGTTTGCTGAAGGAAAAATGGAAGCAGAATGTCAATTGAAATAACATTTTATTTATTCTTTTCAGAAATATACAATGACAATCAAATGTTCAATTTTCCTTTCAGCAAAGATTTTTTTTTTTTTTTATCAAGTAATTAAGTGTTCATAGGGCAGTGTGAAATGTGTGAACAGACTTACTTTATGACAGTCAGCCTCATGTTTGTGAGTTCATAGACAAAGGCAGTTGTTGATTAATCCCTTCTATTGTGTGCATGGACAAGGCCTTAGCCGGTGAGGTGTAAACTTTTTTAATACTATGTTTTCATTAGTTAGATAATTTCACCCAGGCTCACGAAAATCTTTTTTTTCTCAAACTTGCAAGACTGGTGAAAGGTGTTATTTAGATCTTCTAAATGATCTATAAATGACACTATGTCCGCAAAATTTTGGCAGTATTTGCCCTTATCAGGATTGTTTATCAAACGAACCTTCTGATTGGATTTTATTGGTTGAAAATATATATATATATATATATATATAAAAATAAAAAGAAAGAACAGTAAGATATATAATTGCAAAATTAAATTCGGGGCTTTTAGCTTCTATTTTTGAAACATGGTTAGAACTGTGTAGCGGAAAAAACATATTTTAAATCAATTAATTTATAATATATAATGATGATGCAGAACTCTCCTGTCGTTTTTGACGTATGAGTGTCTTTCAGTTCAGTTTTTAAATTTGTTTTGTATGAGACAACAGTCCTTCACAAGATTTGCAAACAAATCCACATGAAGGGTTGACCATCATGTGGGCTGACGTATTAGCCTGAGATTTAGTGTTAATTCTCTCAGATGGTTGAGACGATTCTTTTCAAAGTTAGTTATACCTCAGTAGCCGGTATTTCTCCAGTTTGCTCAGTTCTCAACAGCCAGTTCAAACTCCTCTTTAGGGATGTTTGCAGTAATTAAATTGTATTCAAGTTTATCCTTGAAGCATAACCAAAGACAGCCTATGTTATGCTTACCATGAAAAAGTTGGCTATACATGAGGATTTTCAGCATCCAATCATCACTCATTCTGGTGACATCACCATCCCATGAACTGTGATTCTATCAGAAAGGATTTAATACCACCGACACCACATTTAATGAAAAGATTAGGGTTAGAGATTTTGTCCTGCCGTGTATAACTGCATATTGAATGAAGACAGCGTTTATGAAAAGCATTAAGCTGATTGAGGTGCGTCCTGTATGGCATCCACAATTCTGACCCATAAAGAAAGAAGTGTGGTCAGAATGACTGCTCGATAGACACGGATTTTCATTAAATATTTCATGATTTTAAATCAGAATTTAATTCCTATATTAGAAAAGCATTTTAGATAGTGGAAGAGGCACATTGTATACAAATATTGTTATCATTAACTGATGTATTCAAAATGTATTTTGATGCCCTTTTTGAAGAAATCTAAAATTTTGGCACTGACAGTAGAGAGTGTGTTCCTCTCATTCCCTACTCTATGCAGAAAAGAATATTATATGTTCAGACAAAAGGGCAGTGGTTGAATTTTTAATGGATATCCTTTTTCAAATAAGTTTGTGGTGTGGATCATTCAAAATCCTGCTGCAAAATTCAGTTTGAACTGCTTTCATATTTAAAACATTTTTAATAATTTTTTTTCTTCACAGGTATTTCAGAAAAGACTCCCTTTATGGTCTTGCCTGCTTTGAGAATATGCCGGTGGAAAGTGAAATTGAACGTGGTGCCCGAATGAAGTCTGTTGGTATTCTCTCTCCTTCTTACATTTCCCTCTATAGACACATGCAGTTCCTTGAATCTCAAGTTCGGTAAGTCATCTATTCTCTTATCTCTTTTGATGATGATCAATTTCTTCATGTTTATTTTAAAGTTACAAATCAGTTTTATGGGATTTAATTGGATCATGTTGGTTAAAAACATATTAACCTAATAATAATTATTATTACTAGCCAAATCCCAGTCTTATAAACCTTTCTCTTAATATTAATCTAAGAATAATTCAACAGACTGTTATTTTATTTATGGTAACTGGATTTTTGGCAATTGCTTTATATGGTTTCCATCATTTGATACTGGGCATCTGAAAAGTGGTTTCTATTGCTTCTTGGCCTCTTGGATAAGATCAAATTTCACGGAGGCAAGAAGTTCTCCTCTTCTCAACTGGTCGTTTTCTTTAAGCATCAGCTTAAAGTCAAGATCAGGGCAGAAAAGATGCATTTCTCTTCTTTGAAATTTGGCAAATGTTGGGTGAGAGTTTCGCAATTGGTGTGTGTGAGAAGAGCTAACCTTGAGTGGTTGTTAGACACGACTTAGGAAAAAGGATTTTGGGCTACATGCCGAAACGTCAATCACCCCAGACCCACTTAAGTTAAGATAGTTTTTGACCGACTTTGTCAAAACTAGCTAGGGTACAAAAGTGTATAGGTCCCCTTTTTGTTCCACATGTATTTTATTCCCCATCTCCTCCCTCCTTTTTAAGTGACAGATATTCTTGTTCTCTGGTGAGATCAGATATGGCCAATATCTGATATTTCTACCTTGTTAATCAGGATTTCTGCCACACTTTCACCTTGGGGCGGGATCTGATACTAACACATATTTATTTTTCATTCATTGTATATATTCTTTGTATCCCCCACCCTACTTTTTGTGTAAATAAAATTTCATGCTAGGATTCTAGTGGAATAATTGAGGTATTTTGGTGATTGTGGTGCAAGAGTTTAGTGCAAATGTGGTGTTATGGTGAAAGGTTTATTGTAAGTACGAATGGGTCAATGCGAGCGACTGGATAGTTATGAGTTAAGACTAGAGATGACCGGTCCTTTTCCCTGACCCCCAACTTCGCTTTGTGGCACATTTTGTAATTTTTACAAATAAATAATAAGATCAAAGTGTAGTATCTGTTCTTATCAGCTTAATCTGATTCTCTCTCTCTCTCTCTCTCTCTCCATTTATATCTTCCCTTCTTTTTTTTTCTCGCTGAAACTGTTTTTTCCCCTCTTTCCATGCAATCAAAACTGAATAGTTCATTATTTATAATTTATTGGCAGAGCATAAGTCATGCGAACTAATGAGGGGTGGGATAAGCTCAGTTACAATAGCAATAATGATTATCCCTTCCTGCTCAAGTCTACTTGTTGCAATTATACTTCTTAATTTTTGATTCATTTAAAAGTATTTGTCCACAGATAGCTGCATTTATTGTATTTACATCTTAGAGTAATTTCAGTGACTGATGAATCTTTTAAAGAGTCTTTTGCTTACCTCTCTTAAAGGAAGGTGGAATGAGAGAAAAAAAAATGTCTTGAGATTTGTTCTTCAACAAATAAACAAATCTAGAACTCTTCCATCCCCTCCTCTTGAAGTGACTTGGAATCCACTGAAAGATTCAATGTTTGACCATCGTAAATTGTACTCTGAATGTGTCATCTTTAAGCTCTATGTTCTCCTTCTGTCTGAATTTCTAGGTTTGACAGTTTATCATTATTTACACTATATTCATGCAAACTAACCAAAGTGCTTAAACATTGTTCTGATATATAAAAATTTATATATCATATTATGCAATGTGATGTATTGCACATTCGTTTAGAGTTGCTCTCTCTCATATCAACTCTCTCTGTCTTTTCTAAAAATACTTTCATGTTAACTGCCCTGATGAGCTACTTTTGCTAGTTCCCAAACTGTATGAATTTAAACATGCTACTAATTTGGCATCTCAGTCCCACCTTTTTACTGTCGCAATGGTTAAATGTAGCAGTCTCTTCTACTTCAATAGCTTCATATCTGTGGAACTCCCTTCCTCTTATTTGTTTCCCTGATAGCTATAATCTCCAACTATTCAAATGCAATGTCAATTCAACATGTCCAGATGCCTGTATCTATTCCCCATCCTTCTCTTCATTCTTTCCTCTATCATGCCTCTTTACTCTTGCACCCACTCTCTGTAACCTCTAGCTTGGGGATGAAAAGCTTAAAAAACCCCCAAAAAAACATATGGAATACTTTTGTCTTTTCATGCCATTCTTTTTTTGTGTTCAACCCACCTACTCTGGTCATGGATTTCAGGTAGCCAGAAACAAATCAGGGATTTTGTTAATTTTTCTTAAGTCAGGGACATTTTGAGATGTTGTCCATGATACTCCTAATTTTTTTGATCATTTCATCCCAAGCAAGGTAATAAAACCACTAAGATGCACAGAGTTAAATTAAACTCGAGACTTTATTGTTGCATGTTAGGTATTGGTACATGTGAAGTGGGGTGTTGGCTACTAATTTTATTAGGAATGAGATTATTCTAGGTTGGAGAGGGATGGAGTTTACTTTTGGTTTGGGCCTGGTTAGAAAGGGTTATGGGTATCAAAGTCAGAATTTTTACCCAATAATGGCACTCTTGGAAATGCTAAACTTCCTGAAAAATGTTTTAATTTTTTTTTTTTTTCTATCAAATAACCAAAAGCAACCTGTTTTTTACTGACTTTCAACATGTCCCCATCATCTTACTCATAGAATTTTCCAAGAATACCAGCTACCAGCACATATGATTATTGTTTGACAATATCTCTACAGTAGAAGTGTTTGGGCAGATTTGTTTACACTTATACGTGATACTTTACTAACATGTGTCTGTTCTTCACTCTTTACCATCCTGCCCGCCCACCATATACAGTTGTAGGGAAATCAATAATTGAGGATTTTCTTCCACTATTAAGTGTTATGAATTGAGAGCCAGTGTGAGCATTCATGGATATTATAGCATGCAGCAGTAGCCGTTCAATTTTGAGTTGACAGACTGCATTTGATTTTTTTTTTTTTTTTAAATTTATTTTAAATCAATATTAGGCAGGTGGGATTGCATACAATATTGTACTACTCCTTTCTACACATATACATGAAGGGTAGAGGGCAGTAATAGTATCTCTGTATGCACCCACTCCTCTTCATCTGCATGTGTAGTTACATCAATGTAAGCAATCATTTAAGTCCGATGAAGGACAAAAATGCGTCATACACAAATTTTTTTTTTTTTTCACTTTATCACTCTCCTAACATTGTTCTAGTATATAAAAATTTATTTGAGTTTTAACTTTCAGGGAGTATTTTCTTTCATGTAAATAAAATAATTTATAAATCATTTTCTCCCATATCTTTCTCTCCAAGATTGACCGAGTTACTCCATGGTTCTTTATATTTTTAGTTGCACATGTTAAGACAATGGGGTTTAATAATACCATGTCATGTTGGGAGTATCGCCAGATAAATGAAGATTAATAATATCATGTCATGTTCGCTATATTATGGGTGAGCTATAGAAGAAAGGTTTATCCTTTTAGTTCTCATTTCCCCCATTATAAGCATTATCATATCCATGATATAACAAACCTTAATACATGGAGGTAATAGAATAGTTGGAAGAAAAGGAATGACAAGCCTGCTTTGTTCTCAGAGAGAATTTTATACTTTTTATATTTTAAGTCATATACAAAAATATATATGCATATTTACGTGTCCCATGCAGAAAACCTGTAACATGTATGCAACAACAAGCAGTGAAATGGTTGGAAAAATCTCACATGAAATAAATACCAATAGGAATTGTAGCTCTCAGAGATTCTTCTGTGTTTTTGCAGAAGCCATATTTAGGATTCCGGATTGAAGTGGGACAGATTTATCTGCTATGTCACTAGTGAGGACATTTTCCACAAACAGGAAAATAGCGAGTCATGAGTTTTCTTAAATTGGGGACTGCAAGCCAGAGATAGTTTCTATATCTGGTGAAGATATATTTCCATAGGAAAATGATGCCATGGGCTTGCAAGTTGCACCACATGGCAGATATAGCCTCAGTCCAGTCATAAGGGCCCAAGCTAAAAAAAAAAAAAAAGCAGCTGCTCAGTTTGACTCCTGGAAGCTGACTGGCCACTTTCATCACTCTATGAAGTGATGTCATTAAATGGTTGTCATGTCATTTCATCTTGACCAAAGGGAGATAATCATCTTTTGTATCCCGACAAGGCAATATGTATATGAAATGAGAAACACTAAACTATTTTTTATTTTCTTATAGATTTTGATTACCAACAATATTCTTTTTTTGTGTGCAAGTGTTTCTTTTCTCACTTCACAGAGTTATTCCATGCATTGAAAAACAACTCATAATTGTCATACCTCAAATTGCTTCCATCTCTAGTTTTATTACAAATGAACTCTTGGTATTTATTTGGGGGGTCATCCAGTTAAAATATATTGTATTGTTATATGGCTATCAAGATTTTGCATAGTGATACGAGTTTGCTGAATTGGTTTACTGATTAATACCCTGTAGAATACAATGTTGAACCTCTGAACTGGTTCCTTGATTGACACTCTGCAGAGACAATAATATTCTTCATCTGAAATTTGTCACTGAATCTGATATTTCTTTGGGTTTTAATCAAAGGGAGTATCTTCAAACCAATTTTTCTTGCTCTTTTTCTTGGTGGGGGACGGTCAACTTTATATCTACTGTTTATGATGTACCATATTACTTTTATCATTTGGCATATTTTCCTGGTCAGAGATATGTGATGTTAATCAGAGACTTTTTAGTGTGGTATATCAGTGTTTACCCTGAGTTGAGATGTAAGGATGCAGATTGGTTGGTGTAGATAATTTTGCTAACTTTCAGGATTTATTGTTCTATAGGTGTCTTTTCTATACAGTTTTTGATGATATGGCTTAGAAGTGCACCCATAAATAACTGCAGAATGTTATCAGGAAAAAATTCCTTGTACTTTCATTATATGCATTTGAAGCAGGTGTGTAGAAC